AGGTGGGGGAAGGTGGGCGGAGAATTCTGATGTATTTTCTGGCTCTGTTCTATTCTGTTCTAAAATCCTGTCTCTAAAAAACCTTAATCCGTGTGAATAGAACGGTTTGCTGTTGAGACAATTAAATGACATGTGTGGAGGCACAAGGCGGCAGGTGGGGGTGCTCGTAGGCGTGAGGAGCCCACCTCCCGCCAGCCTGAAAACGCCTCTTCTCTCCGGAGGGGCCAGCTCACCCTGGGGGAGGCCGGCTGGCTCTAATGTCCCTCAGTCGCGACCCGGGAGACCTCACTGCACTGTGATCCCCAGTGTGGTAGCAGGGGGTCGGCTGAGCCCCAGATCGAGAGGAGGTCTGGTGACTGAGTCACTGAGGCGTGAGGGCCGCTGGCTGCCCCTCAGCATCCAGGCACCTGGCCATCTTAGCCAAGTGGAGGCCACCCGGTCAGGTCATCACCAGGAGTGCCCTTGACCTTAACTGGGGGCTCAGAAGGGAGACCAGGTTGGAAGGATGGCGTGGCANGTGTGGCCCTCGGCCAGGTCATCACCAGGAGTGCCCTTGACCTTAACTGGGGGCTCAGAAGGGAGACCAGGTTGGAAGGATGGCGTGGCAACCAGGTCCCCGCCCCAGAGCTGTTCGGAGGAAAGACAGGCCCCGGCATTCAGCCTGCTGAGAGCCCACTCGGACCTGGACCATCTGTCCCGGTGGCCTCTGTGGCCCAGCCTTTGTAAGGCCACGCTAGGGGACAGCGCTGGGGGCAGGTGAAGCTGGCGCTTCAGCCAAGGCTGGGGGAGCCAGAGAGGCCACACTGCCCCCTGGCCCAAGGTGCCCCAAGGTGTCCCAGGGTGTCCCAAGGCTAGGGAGTGGGGGAACAGGGGCTCAGGGCTGACCCTGGCAATAACGAGTGGACTCTCAGGGGTGAGTGTGGCCTGTTCATTGGCACACTGATCCCCATGCAGCCATGTAGCCCGGGAGGACAGAGGGATCAGCCTCCCCTGCGGGTAGGAGAAGGGCATGCAAAGGGCTGTGGGAGCATGAGGTGTGTGTGTGTGAAAGAGAGAGAGAGGGAGAGATTGGCGCTAGCTCGAACTCTGACCTCCCGACCCAGGGCAGCACCCCCCAGGCCTGTCTTCCCCAGACAAGGGGAGACGTGCCTGTGGTCCAACAGGCACCCGGGGCTCCAGGCGCTGTGCGAGGCCGGGTCCCACCTGCAGGTCCTGAGGGAGTTAAGCACAGTGGTTGGCGCCCACCAGCCAGATGCCTATGGGCTGAGCTCTCTCAGGGGGGCTCCTGCCTTCCCTCCCTCCTCCCTGCTCCTGATCCCCACGGTGCTGGCCTTGGGACACTGGGGCGAGGCGAAAGCAAGAGAAGGTGGGTCCTCTCCTTTCCCCAGGGAGAGCTGGGGACCCTCCCCTCCCTCATCTGACCTCTCCCTGTGGCCTCCACCCCAGCCCGGGTGGCCCTATCAGACAGTTGCTCCCCAGAGCCTGGGAAGCAGGGGGACTACTTGGGGTCATCACCCCCAGAAGCAAGGGGGAGATGTCTGCAGTAGGAGAGGGTGTGGCTGGAGTGTAAGGAGCAGGGAAGAGCAGAGGGGAGAATGGACACAAAGATGTCCTCAAGAACACGTCATGAGCCCTGGGTAGCCCTGCCCGGAACTGCTGGCAACGAGCTCAGGCTTGTCCGACTCCTGCAGCCGGAGACGAGGGTTGGCACACGCCTTTCTCCCAGGCAGGGCAGATCAAGGAGAGCTTCCGAGAGGAGGCGGCACTTGAGGTGGGTAAGGAGGCTCTGTGGGTAACGGGGCGGGTACGAGACCAACACACCCGTGTGTGCAAATCATCGGACCATCCGCTGCCACTATGGACCCGGGGACTTGCCAGGAGCTTCACACGCAAGGTCTTAACCTACAGCAGTCCTGGAGGTCAGGGTCCATTAGAACCACTTTCCAGACCCAGGAGGCTCAGGGGCTTACACACGGCTGGAGAATGGTGGCATGCGGACCAGAAATCAAGGGCGTCTGACCCAAAGCTTTCCTCTAGGCCAGGCTGCCCACCGGAGCCTTGCTGGAGGTGGGTAAGGGGCCGCCGTGGGTTTAGCAGACATCCGGCAGCTCTGGGTGGCCGTCTGTACACTGTAAGCGTCCCATTAACAGGAGGACGGCACACGCTGAGCCTGTGGGATTCAGCCGGCCTGGTCTGCAGGGGTTGGGCCTGGAGGGCAGCACCCGCCCCCCCTCAGCCTCCGAGCTCCTGGAGGGCAGAGACCAGGGTTTATTGTTTCGAGATCCCTGTCCACAGGGCATGCCAGGTCAGGGGAGTGCCAGGACAAGTAAAGAAGGTGGCACATGCCTATGCCTTCTAGAACGTCCATAGCCATTGACTGGACACTCCTGGGGCCCCAGTGAGGGACTCCGAATGGGCTGAACCACAGTCCCATCTCCAGGGCACCCCGACCAGTGGGGGAGGCAAACAGGGCCAAGGAGAAAATGTGATAAATACCAAGACATAAAGGAAAACCCAGAAGGCTC